TGAACAGCCTGAAACAGCACGATGTGCAGGCAAGTCGGGCGGACACGTCGAAACTGGATGAGCCGCAGAGAACACCTGCTCAGCTGAAAAAAAAAAAAAAAAAAAATGCCGACGTGATCCCGCCTGAAGTTTTGAAACCCGGCGGACCTGCGTTAGTGACTGCGCCGTACCACTTGGTGCAACGCGCATGGATTAAAAAGGAGAAAAAAAAAAAGCTGTAGGATGCCCTTGTGCCACCCCAGTACAAGGGAAAATGGTGCAAACAATGTAACACGAATTATCATGAAATTGAGTTGTTGAGTTGTGTGAGTTGTGTGGGTAAGGTGATTGTCCGAATCCTGCCCAATCGCCTCGTGAATCAGATTGTGGAACCAAACGTGGCGGAAGAGCAATGCGGATTCCGTTCGGGTCGCAGCACTATAGATATGGTGTTTGCGGCTCGTCAGTTGCAAGGGAAGTGTAGAGAACGACACCAGCCTTTGTACTCGCCTTTTGTTGATTTCACCATGGCATTTGATACGGTGAACCGCGAGGCACTGTGGCTGGTGTTGGGTAAGTTTGGTTGCCCGCGTAAGTTTGTAAGTTTAATTGAATGTCTGCATAGTGGTATGCGAGCGAGGGTGCAGCTGAGTGGAGAGACCTCTGATGACTTTACAGTTGTCTCTGGTGTGAAGCAAGGCTGTGTGTTAGCTCCTGCCCTGTTTAATATCTATCTTCATGCAATGTTGTCTTGTGCTTTTGATGCGGCTTGTGCTTACGGTGTTCGTGTGGAGCACCGTATTGATGGTGGGTTGCTGAACATCCGTCGTCTCGGTGCGAGAAATCTAGTCTGTGAGACAACCATCCGTATGTTGCTGTTTGCTGATGACTGTGCGTTGTTTTCACACAGCGCGGATGAGTTGCAGCACATGACTAGTGCTCTGGCTTCGACAGCGGCCAAATTCGGGCTCACCATCAACACAAGCAAAACTGTCTGTCTCTTTCAGCCTTCACCGGAGGTGCAATCTTCAATATTGCCGCAAATCAGCATTGGTGCTGAAGTATTGGAAACCACCTCCCGCTTCTGCTACCTTGGGAGTGTGATGTCGACTGATCAGCAGCTACACGTTGAGTTGCGTAATCGCGTGTCGAAGGCGGCAGCGGCATTCGGGAAGCTTGAGTACCGAGTGTGGAACAACCATCAGCTTAGCATTGGCACGAAGCTGATGGTGTACAAATCCATGGTACTGTCCGTTCTTCTATACGGCAGTGAAACGTGGACGATGTACCGTCGGGATGTGCGATATCTCGAGCGGTTCCATCAGCAGTGTCTGCGACGAATTTTGCGGATCGGCTGGGGCGCCAGAGTTGCAGACACGGAAGTGTTGCGCCGAAGTGGGATGTATGCAGTGGACGGCATACTTTTACTGCGACACCTGAGATGGCTCGGTCATGTGAGCCGTATGGATTCGACGCGGATACCAAAACAACTCTTATACGGTCAGCTGAGTATAGGGAAGCGGCACGTGGGGAAACCAAAGTTACGTTACCAGGACATGATTAAAGTGAGCCTCACACGTTCTAATCTTGATTGCAGATCATGGGAATCGAAGGCGGTTGATCGTGGTGCATGGCGCGATCTAATCACGAAGGCAGTTGCTGAAGTGCGGGAGAAAGCCCTCATGCATGCAGAGAAGAAGCGGCAGTTGCGGAAGCGGCAAGCACCAATGAATTGTACTCCATCGACATCGAGCGCATTGTGCTGTAGAACATGCGGTCGCGAGTGCCTTAGTCAGGCAGGCCTAGTGAGCCATGAGAGAGGTCACTCGGGACCACTGCCGAAGCGACGACGGGTCCCGCAGTGAACGTAGGCAGCACCGGCGCAGCGTTTGTAGGCACGCTGAATTCGATTTACTAACCGCATGCTTGCATGCTAAGTCTCTTTATTTCAGGTGGTGGGTTTTCGGTTCTCTCCTAATGCCTTTCTTTCTCATATAAATGTCTAGTGGGCCATGAGCTGTGCCATTTGGGGCCACTACAGAAGCGACGACGGGTCCTGCAGAGAATTACGGCGAGCCGGCACAGCGTTTGTAGGCACGCTGAATTCGATTTACTAACCGCGTGCTTGCATGCTAAGTCTCTTTATTTCAGGTGGTGGATTTACAGTTTTTACCTTAATGCTTTTCTTTCTCATTTAAATATCTCCCTGTACTCTATTCTATTAACTTGCACACATCGCTTCAGCCAATTGTATTCGATTTCCATAACATTTTTGTGTTCGTGGCATTCCGTGAACTATACTTCCTGACCTCGTGCACTTAGATAGGATCTGTTTGTAAACAACTTATTACATATGCTATTTACTTAAGGTTTATATCACCGTTTCCTTATGCATTAATCGAGTTTTTCTCTTTTTCTTTCTCTCTCTCTCAAGTGTTTGGCTGTTGTTTGATATCCCCGGTGTGGCTGCGCTTGATGTGCATGTTGACAAGGTGCCTACCTGTCTATTACCCACTACATCGTCCATACTGGCTCCAGGAGACAGTTGGTCGTTGCTGGAGGGGACAGGGTGCACGGTCCTTGTGGCCGTGTTAGGATCAAAGAGTGGTTCCATGCACTCAGTGTGGAGCGGACTACGGTCCAGCCACCGCCTTGTGTGTGCTTGATTCCACAAATACAGTGTGCTTGTGTTTGCCTGTGAAGGAGTGTGGGCCGGCTCCGTTGATGAAACGTGGCTCCCATCCGCATGCCTCCCGGTCTTATTCCTTCGGGTTTACACTGGATATGGGGTGTGTGGTTGGAGCTGTGGGTGGTGCAGCGCAAGCCATCCATGGTCCCTCTGTAGGCGCAGGCGTCCTGTGGCTTGCCACAGTGACAGGCAAATCCGAAACCGGATGCCGCCAACCATATATATATATATATATACATAAATCCCGTGCGTGCGAGTAGGTAGGTGGTGGATATAAATCCAGCAGGATAAAACATTAATGGATGGATTAATTCGTTTAAATCCATCGCCCAATAGTGAGCCCAATTCAAAGGCACACAATTTCAAGCACTCGTGTGTCAAATTTCACAAGACTAGCTTAATTGATAGACATGATGGTTGATTATTGAGTGCCACATGCATTTAGCCCAATCGACCCGTGGTTGTCAGTTAGTAATGTAATTTTTGAAGCTTGATCCATGCTGTCATAATACCGGCGTCGCAATGTTGCTCCCGGTTAATTAACCGAATGCTCTGAGCAACCGAGCAGACTGCCCGTACATGTTGGGAAAGGCTGCTGGCGAGCGGGTATTTGATCGGGAAGCTAAGCCAGATCAGTAGTAGGATGCGAAAAAAAAGTTCAAATAGTGTCCACCACTCTTTTCTTTCATGGAAATTTTGAACAGGAGATTATCCCCATCGGAGTGGAGTAGTCTTGGAGACAATGAGTTCAGGGAGGGAACCTATATTGAACGGATTCCGGTACAGCGCCCACTGGTCACTGGCAATAGGTGCGCATCAGATTCGCCTCGAAGCAACAGCACGAGTAGTGATGGCTGCGCATACAAATTGTGGTTTAGTTCACCGGGGTGTAAAAGACATTCACGCCAGATATGGAGTTGACATGTTGGCACGTACTCGTCAGTCAATACGGCTGATTAGAGAACCGTGACTGGAAGACGAGAAGAGGCTCAGAACGTAACTGACCACGCAAAGCGAACTAGCATGATAAAAAGTGTACCGGCCAAAAATCGATGTATAAGTGAAGATGGGAAGAACCACCGACAGGGCAACGTGATAAAATATGAATACCCACGAAAGCGGGATGTGTGTATGCAGAGGAAGGAGACGCCGTCCATTTCAATGTGGCGCAGGAGGGGACAATAATACAAGTGGGACACCATGTTGACTCTTCGCAAGTTGCAGTCAGTTGGAGTATGTGCAGCGGTTTCGGTTAAATGGTGGTACACGAGCCAGAAGGTGCTGTGTGGGACAGGTACACACGACAGATGTGGCAATTGTTAGCGTCCATACGTTGGCGGCAAGCACCGGGGGTTAGTTGGTTCGTATAGCAAACGATGAATTGTGGGATGTAAAGTCATCGTTCAATGCGCGGCGAACAAGAGAAAGTGGCAGAGACAGATGAAATATATTAGGCGAAGAAATGTATAAAAGCTACCGAGTATGATCCAAACTGGGGGAGGATACCGCAATCAGGGAATGCGAAAGCATCAGGACTACTGGACTGTTTGGATTAGAGGAAACCGAAACCCTCGTCCAATAGAGTAAACATGTCCGACTTAGTGTGGCAAGCCAGAAGGAGCAATGCGCTGATTTATCAGAACATACTGCCAATGGCCGCGGAGAAAAATTGAATAGTCCCATGAAAATCCCATGGTAGTACACTAATTCGTGTTGACAAGAAACATGTTACTTCCATAACTGGAAAGAAAACGAAGTGGGTAAGGAACCGTGTCACGTAGGTTACAATAAACCAGTGATGACCATGTAGTCAAATCTGTGTGTAAGGCGACCACACTCAAGGGATCAACAGAAAGTGATCGCCACGGACAGGTTCATGCATAGAGACATTGCTCATAGGAGTAAACGTCGGGGATATTGTTGGCTGGTCGCTATAGACAGGCAGTCGCCATTGCAGACTGGACTGTCTATGGCTACCAGTTAGTACTGCAGAAAAAGACAGCAAATGTACTAAAGAGAGATCTGCGGTGAACGCAAACGTCGTTATGGGAAAGCCGATCGTGCGAAGCGGGAGACGAGCAGGATTGGCAACGAACGAACGAACAACGGTGGGAAGATATCTGTACTGCAAACAAGTAACTGTGGTCGAAATAATTGTCTTTTTCAAATATAACAAACGCTTCGAATAGCGGTCAAGTATGGAGAGCATAAGGCCACCAACATCGTGTATGAAACTGAAACGCAAGCCTCGGTACTCGAAGTAGGCGCGAGTACACTTTTCAATAGGAGAGACGAGAAGCGCAAAAAATAACACATTTCCATGGCGGCTCACTTCAAATGTGACAACTGTGCCGGCATCTAGAGTGGAGTTGAACAATTGTGTCAAAGGAAAATCGGTATCGCAAAGCACACCTTCCGTGCCCCGGCGATTGTTTGCCACGTCAGAGGAAGTGCGGACGCGCATCACCAGACAGTAGGCCGCTGGGTCTGCGTCCTCCAGACCGTATTTGTTCAAACCCTGTCGAATCACATCAGAAACAGAATCCGTAGCGGAAAGTAACAGGGTTTTGTATGGGACGGAAGGACAGATTTGACCACCGTAAATCTTCAAAGTGCCACCTAAAAGTGAAGTAAGAATGGAATTGGTGCTCGAACCAACTGATGTGGAAAGACAAAGAGAAACAGTCAAGCGATCAGCGGACCGCATCCAGTCAGTGAGGTGAAAAGGAGACTGTTGTGACAACCAACGGGAGGAATTGCGACTTACACAAAGTGGAAACAAATTTACGTAGGTTATTATTTACCTGGATACCTAATGGATATACTATCAGGCGGAAATCCATTGAACTAGGAATAGTTGAAACAACGTAGATGGAAGTAAGTTGAGAGTGCGAAGTTGAGGCACACAGATACAATTTGAAAACAACAACCGCTTGACCGGAACGCACAAGTAAATGAGGTAACATTCGCGGAACTATCGGACACATGAATCGAATATTCGCATGCATCAATCCGTCCGGCATCTGTACGTCAACAGAGCAGTCAAATCGACACATCATATTGCTGCTCTGCCATTAAACAACTAAGAATTAAAGAAGACGGCTTTACTTACATAAAGGCATCAGTAGTACGCCGGTATGCAGTGCTGAAGCTTCTCTGCCTCGCAACTACCACCGGTCACACGTAGGCTAAGGACACTACTGGGAGGGTGGTCCGGTCCCTACACACGCTCGAACGCGCGCCCTCAGATTACAAGATAGGTTTGTAAGCCTTAAGGTCGGCTCTACTAGTATATAACAGGACTAAGTGCAGAACTGACACACATATATCATTAAGAGTTACGGTGGCCCACCTTGTCAGGTGGATAGGGAATGTGACTAGTGTAGTGGTCGAGAGAGATGAAAACCCTCACTTCGAAGTTGGCGTCGGTTGGTGCATCCCGATTGCCTGACTGGGGTCATAAGGACGATGAACACGTTTGGTTGGACACACTTGCTGATACGGATTGGAGCCGGCTCTAATGGCGTTTGTGTTGTGAGTTTCTTTGTCCATCCCCCTCCTGCTTAGCATCCCACTCCAATCACGATCTCACTTGTTAGGCATAACATGACTCTTTTTGCGGCACAGTTGCCGGCTGTTAGCTCTCCGGAACGATGTTCATCCGTTACTGGGGACTCAGCCGGCGTGCCAATGTTTGTTTTCCTTTTCTCGTCTTTTGTATTGCGGTACAATAGCTGAGGTGTTTTCCACCTGCAGCTAACGTGTATAATAATAATAATAATAATAATAATAATAATAATAATAAGTGCCGAACTGTAGGTGGACGAGCTTAAGCCAGCCGGAATGAACAAACGCAAGTTAGTTTGAGGTGACCGTCTTAAGTTTCCAGTGTAAAACCGGTTAGTGGTCCGAATAGGGAAAGTGGAATGCAAAACAGCTAAAAAATTGGTACGAAGCGTTGGATACATAGGCCGCTTACACTGCCAAGGCGGAATCGGTACTCGACAGAGGAAAAGGTTTCACTGCCGTAGACAAAATGACCTATACCGGGACCCTGTGAACATGATCTCCAATAGCAGGGAAATATCTTTCTGGCAACAGTGCCGCTAATTCAAGAAAAACACAAAATATGCCATTGCCCAGTGTAGGTCAGATTTGGCACTCGCACGCTCGTCACAGCCGCCAAGAGATGTGAATCAGTCGAACATTTCTATTTCATGGTAGAAAATGCAAATGGTACAGGGAAGTAGCCAGTAGACCTAGAAAGTACATCGTACTTTAAGGGCTTCATGAGGGGACCATTCCAGTGATCACTTTCATCATTCACATCATTGCATAGATAAAATATGGGCGAGAAACACCTTAGCTGTTATGCCACAATACAACAACGCAGTAAGATATGCATTGGCAGTGAAATCGTGGTTGGAGGGAACTCATCGATGGTTGACTATGCCGACCTGCGACTGATGAACAATAAAGCGATATTGTTCGGCAGCATGGGGTGGACTGCTCCATACGCTGCGGCTCGTACTCCACGGTGTTGACCTATGGGTGACTCCGTAGCATCTCAGCACGCATGCAACCGCTGGTAGCAGCATGATGGCGCGCAGCGTCGGTGTAAAGTCCCAACAAGATGCAGATATTTTTTGCATCATCAACACGTCCCTCAGGCGGGAATTAAGCCCCCGCACCTTAAAATTTCAGAAGAGAACGCTCCATAATGGAATAGATGAAAAACCTTGACCGAAGTGGGAAAAGGGGATAAAGTCGGACCCGGATGCTCACATCCTTTTTGGATATACGCTTTACGAGAAGGAGAAAGTGCACAGAATTCTGTATAGAAAAAACCACTCGAATTCAGAAAATAGGTATGTGTGTTAGGAGAAAGACGTGGTACTTTAAAATGACGACGAACAACTGCCTCTGCGAAGTGAACTGATGTTTGAGTCTAAGACGGTTCTGCTGAAAACAAGCCGGGTATGTCGGATACACAATCAGTTGCATTAGGAGGGTGGAGAACGCGCAGCATTCGTCCGACACGGTCAGCACCAATGACAATATATGACAACCGAGATGAAACAAGCAAAAGGTGGGAAATGGTACTAGCGAAAGTGATGACACAGACAGCAGGTACATAAAAGACAAGCTAGCATAATGCAGTTGAGTACCGGTATACTTAGTTACGGTGGATCGGAAAGATCGGCTCCTTTGAACTGGAGGCTGGCCCGTAGCCCTAAGGTAACAACCTTGTAATATGACGGCGATGCCTACGCGGCAGCGAAGCGTCACGACTGCGCATCGGCGTACTGCTGGTGCCCTTGAACTAAAGTATCGGACAATGTAGAACCATTTGAAAGCATCGGAGTAACAACGTCCGTAGAAAGGGTTGGACTACAACCAAACTGTGCTGTTCGTAGACTGAACGTTAATCAACCTATACGCTACCGCTAAGATGAGCGGTGTCGAAGCGGTAGACAAGAAAGCCAGCTCACAAAGACCGAAAGTAAAATGAAAACATCATAGTGTTGCTCACCCCAACACTGGCACCCCAAGACCGCGGTTTCGTCCTGGTTGGGACTCATCAGTTGGAGATAGCCTGAGTTGGGCTGGAACTCAGAGCCTAGTGGCTCATGGTTGACACCATAAGCACTATGCCACTGAGATCCGCGAGCAACGCTTGGGCCAGCGGGAACGAATGCAAAATTGGACTTGGAGGCTCCGCTGGTGGTTGGGTTGCTACAAGCAACCTCTACTGAGACCTCGGTTCACTTGAAGTGGACCTCGGTCATCCGATCACAAGGACCGAAAGCAAAATGAAAACATGCTAGTGTTGCTCGCGGATCTCATAGTGCTTATGGTGTCAACCATGAGCCACTAGGCTCTGAGTTCCAGCCCAACTCAGGCTATCTCCAACTAATGAGTCAGAACCATGAAGAAAGCCAGCTGTTATACAGCTAGTTGCAGCGCCATGTCAATATGCGGAAATAAAAAGAAAAAGAGGACAAAACTGCAGAAATAGCGCATGAGGGAAACCCGAGGATGCATAGATCAAACAAAAGGAAGCGGGTAGTAGTAGTAGTAGTAGTAGTAGTAGTAGTAGTAGTAGTAGTAGTAGTAGTAGTAGTAGTAGTAGTAGTAGTAGTAGTAGTAGTAGTAGTAGTAGTAGTAGTAGTAGTAGTAGTAGTAGTAGTAGTAGTAGTAGTAGTAGTAGTAGTAGTAGTAGTAGTAGTAGTAGTAGTAGTAGTAGTAGTAGTAGTAGTAGTAGTAGTAGTAGTAGTAGTAGTAGTAGTAGTAGTAGTAGTAGTAGTAGTAGTAGTAGTAGTAGTAGTAGTAGTAGTAGTAGTAGTAGTAGTAGTAGTAGTAGTAGTAGTAGTAGTAGTAGTAAGTAGTAGTAGTAGTAGTAGTAGTAGTAGTAGTAGTAGTAGTAGTAGTAGTAGTAGTAGTAGTAGTAGTAGTAGTAGTAGTAGTAGTAGTAGTAGTAGTAGTAGTAGTAGTAGTAGTAGTAGTAGTAGTAGTAGTAGTAGTAGTAGTAGTAGTAGTAGTAGTAGTAGTAGTAGTAGTAGTAGTAGTAGTAGTAGTAGTAGTAGTAGTAGTAGTAGTAGTAGTAGTAGTAGTAGTAGTAGTAGTAGTAGTAGTAGTAGTAGTAGTAGTAGTAGTAGTAGTAGTAGTAGTAGTAGTAGTAGTAGTAGTAGTAGTAGTAGTAGTAGTAGTAGTAGTAGTAGTAGTAGTAGTAGTAGTAGTAGTAGTAGTAGTAGTAGTAGTAGTAGTAGTAGTAGTAGTAGTAGTAGTAGTAGTAGTAGTAGTAGTAGTAGTAGTAGTAGTAGTAGTAGTAGTAGTAGTAGTAGTAGTAGTAGTAGTAGTAGTAGTAGTAGTAGTAGTAGTAGTAGTAGTAGTAGTAGTAGTAGTAGTAGTAGTAGTAGTAGTAGTAGTAGTAGTAGTAGTAGTAGTAGTAGTAGTAGTAGTAGTAGTAGTAGTAGTAGTAGTAGTAGTAGTAGTAGTAGTAGTAGTAGTAGTAGTAGTAGTAGTAGTAGTAGTAGTAGTAGTAGTAGTAGTAGTAGTAGTAGTAGTAGTAGTAGTAGTAGTAGTAGTAGTAGTAGTAGTAGTAGTAGTAGTAGTAGTAGTAGTAGTAGTAGTAGTAGTAGTAGTAGTAGTAGTAGTAGTAGTAGTAGTAGTAGTAGTAGTAGTAGTAGTAGTAGTAGTAGTAGTAGTAGTAGTAGTAGTAGTAGTAGTAGTAGTAGTAGTAGTAGTAGTAGTAGTAGTAGTAGTAGTAGTAGTAGTAGTAGTAGTAGTAGTAGTAGTAGTAGTAGTAGTATAGTAGTAGTAGTAGTAGTAGTAGTAGTAGTAGTAGTAGTAGTAGTAGTAGTAGTAGTAGTAGTAGTAGTAGTAGTAGTAGTAGTAGTAGTAGTAGTAGTAGTAGTAGTAGTAGTAGTAGTAGTAGTAGTAGTAGTAGTAGTAGTAGTAGTAGTAGTAGTAGTAGTAGTAGTAGTAGTAGTAGTAGTAGTAGTAGTAGTAGTAGTAGTAGTAGTAGTAGTAGTAGTAGTAGTAGTAGTAGTAGTAGTAGTAGTAGTAGTAGTAGTAGTAGTAGTAGTAGTAGTAGTAGTAGTAGTAGTAGTAGTAGTAGTAGTAGTAGTAGTAGTAGTAGTAGTAGTAGTAGTAGTAGTAGTAGTAGTAGTAGTAGTAGTAGTAGTAGTAGTAGTAGTAGTAGTAGTAGTAGTAGTAGTAGTAGTAGTAGTAGTAGTAGTAGTAGTAGTAGTAGTAGTAGTAGTAGTAGTAGTAGTAGTAGTAGTAGTAGTAGTAGTAGTAGTAGTAGTAGTAGTAGTAGTAGTAGTAGTAGTAGTAGTAGTAGTAGTAGTAGTAGTAGTAGTAGTAGAGTAGTAGTAGTAGTAGTAGTAGTAGTAGTAGTAGTAGTAGTAGTAGTAGTAGTAGTAGTAGTAGTAGTAGTAGTAGTAGTAGTAGTAGTAGTAGTAGTAGTAGTAGTAGTAGTAGTAGTAGTAGTAGTAGTAGTAGTAGTAGTAGTAGTAGTAGTAGTAGTAGTAGTAGTAGTAGTAGTAGTAGTAGTAGTAGTAGTAGTAGTAGTAGTAGTAGTAGTAGTAGTAGTAGTAGTAGTAGTAGTAGTAGTAGTAGTAGTAGTAGTAGTAGTAGTAGTAGTAGTAGTAGTAGTAGTAGTAGTAGTAGTAGTAGTAGTAGTAGTAGTAGTAGTAGTAGTAGTAGTAGTAGTAGTAGTAGTAGTAGTAGTAGTAGTAGTAGTAGTAGTAGTAGTAGTAGTAGTAGTAGTAGTAGTAGTAGTAGTAGTAGTAGTAGTAGTAGTAGTAGTAGAGTAGTAGTAGTAGTAGTAGTAGTAGTAGTAGTAGTAGTAGTAGTAGTAGTAGTAGTAGTAGTAGTAGTAGTAGTAGTAGTAGTAGTAGTAGTAGTAGTAGTAGTAGTAGTAGTAGTAGTAGTGCAAAGTCATGGCAATCACTGGAAAACTGGTTTAATCACCGTGGCACGTTATCTGAGGGTGAGACACACGCTTCAGCTAGTGCTGCATGAAGAACGGAACTTGTGTTGTTTTTTCACACGCCTATTTAATTTTCGTCTTTTTTCAATAGTTAAGCATCTGAATCTAAAGTATGTACACTGATTTTCCACTGTTTTTGATTACGCGCCATTTTCTAAATTGTTTCCAGCAATAGGTCCTCCTCTTTCTTTGGTCCCCAACCAAAAACGTGTGGATCCAACGGCAGCAATATGTAAAGTCAACGATGTCATGTGCTATCGCCAGGTGGACGGTTGACGACCACTTGGACTCTTCCAGCCAAGTCCTGCACCAGCGTAAGGGGTGTAATAGGGTAAAGACTCAGCTGACATTCGCAGGATGTGACCAAGCCAGCTTGTTGAAGGGAATACCCGCATTCCTTAAGACACGACGTCAGATTTCACGGTTGTAGATATGCTGTTGCCACCACACACGAGCAATTCTCCTCAAGCACTCATTATAGAAGGTCGAGAGCCGGCGCATGTCATCTACGCGTACTGGTCATAACTCGTTGAAATATAACAATACTGCTCGAACGGTGGCACTGTAAACGCCATGTTTTACCAAGAGGGAAACATCTCGACTACGCCACAAGTGTTTCACTTCCACAAACGTCGACTGAACTTTGGCGATGCGGAGGGTAACTTCCTTCACACTAGAACCACTAGCAGACACGCAGCCGCCCAGGTAGACAAAGTTATACACTTGTTCAAACTGTGTACCCTCAAGAGTGAGCACGGGAACAGGCAAGTGCCAATCCTGAAGCAGAACTTTACACTTTGATGGGGCAAAACATATTTCTGTACCTAGATGCCTCAATCGCCAAACGTGTCAAAATGGTTTGCATGCTCTGCGAGTCATTACCAAGTAAGGCGATATCATCGGCACAATCTAAGTCGGTCGGTCGCTTGCCTGGTAGTAGCTGCAAACCATATGGTTGGTAACCTTCCAGTTTTCTCGATAGAATGTCTTCAATCGTAAATTTGAAAAGGAAAGGGGACATAGGGCAACCCTGTCGTATACCGCTTTTGACACCGAATGACGAAAGCTTGCCATAGGCTCTCACTCTGCGTGATGTGGGGGTAGGGTGCACGCAAGATGGCAGTATACTTTTCTGGGATCCCGTTATTTAGCAAGCAGCGCCAAAGCGCAGGTCGATCAAGCGAGTCGAATGCCACACGGATATCTAGGAATGCAAAGATAGTAGGCCTCTGGTAGATGTGGCAGTGTTAGAGGATTTGGCGGAGCGTGGATATTTGATACACTCAAGGCCAGGACGGAAGCCAAGTTGTTCTTCCAGGTACTGCGGTTCACGAATCAGGAATAGCCTACGGAGTAGAATGGATGTCAATAGCTTTGAGGCAACCGAAATGAGACTAATCCCCCGGTGATTGGCACATGAAGTGCGAGCGTCCTCCTTAAAAACCGGGACAATAACTGATTCCCCGCAGGAAGAAGGTACCTTTACTTCATGCCAGATTTTGGAGAACAATGAGGTTAGCAGTTTGCGCCTCCATACTTGAACAGCTTCGGAGGAAGTCCGTCTGAGCTGGCAGTCTTGAATCGTTTCAAGTTTCGAAATGAAAGACAAACATCCGCTCCGCTGGGCCGATCAAATGTGATGGCCTAGGGCGGTCAGCTGGGTTCGCAGGGAATACAAGTGGACGGTGAGAGCCAACTGAACTGTGAATGAAAACGTTCGGCACATCGATCCAAGTGTCTTTGTAGGTTGACAATTGGAGGACCATCCGTTTTACAAATAGTCGCACTGACGCCAGGCTTTCTGTGGGCAGTGGACTGAATGAGGTGGAAGAGTTTGCGAATATTGTCAAAGAGGCCAGCGGCCTTCATTTCCGAAGCACGCTGAGACCACCAGGCTTCACGATCAGTGCGTAGGCATCGTTTGAGCCGTCGACTGACAACGGTGCACTTCATTATGATTAGACTTCGATGGGATATTCCTGCGGCGGTCAAATATATCCAGCGAACGTCTGGAGATCCATGCCTTCACAAGGTGCTGAGTAAGATCACGGACTAATTGACCGGAAGAGATCATGGTTCCCTGCATGAACGTCCAGTGTTCATGCAGATTAGGGTTGTGCAGGAAATCAGTTGAGACACAGCACGTGCTGGGAGCCTGAAAAACGACCAAATTGCCTAAACACCTGTCAAAGCCATAAGAGGCATAGCGTAACTCATAATAACCGTGACGGACGTGAACTAGACGCGTAAGTGAACGCCCAGCGTTTCCAGCCTCACGAAGTGACTGCAAAGTGTGGGATAAGGTAATGAAGCAAGAAGCATTTGAGGTGCTCGGTACATTAGCGAAACACCGGTAGCGGAAAACTTGTGTGTTCGCTCATGAAATATCTTAACGCAACTAGTAACGAGCGGCACAATAGTTGTGGTGTTTCTCACCCCTAGCTAACATGTATATTGAATGAATGAATTAGCAAAAAAGAGAGAATGTGGCGGCGGCATCAGTGCAAAAGTCACATAAGGCAGAAGCTACGCAGTGGAACTTAAACGACGTCTATTCCACATTTGCGCAAACATGTGACACTACAATGAATGCCGAGCCGGTTGCATAATAAAAAGGAGGAAGCAGGGCACAGGTATAAACTTCACCTTGTTATTACCCCTCGAAAATGGACAAATAGAATAAGGAAACGAATGGACGGGATTCGAGAGCACGGTTGCACGACAAGACGGAACAGCTGATGGACCAAAAGCAGGTAAGAAAAACGTGAAGCAAAATGAAACAGAAACGAGACATAAGCGGATTATTTACCGACATCGGATACATCATGATGCAAAATTTGCATCAGCTTCGCTTCCAAAGTACGTTGGCGTTTGCGACGCATCACTTCCTCAGGGTTAGAGATGGTGCGTGTAAATGTGGAATCCGGTGGTGAAGAATGGGCGCACGATGAAGACTTTTTCGTAGATCCCAACTGATGGTTGCTTGGGAGACAGTTGAGGCTGGGTTCATGAGGTGAGAAATGGTCCGGATGTGTTGCAGATTTATCCCGGTTCCAACCAACGGCCGCAGCACAGCCTAAAGGACCACGCCTAGATACGGTTGGAGTTCGTCGATCTCGACGCAGAGACCATCGACGTCGAGTGCTGTTGCAGAATGCTTTACTCGACGAAACACCGCCTTTACAAGGTGTGCCATTGCAGAACTGAAAAAGAAAAAATGATGAAGGAATAAGCAACAGGCCAAATGTGAGACATGTTCAACTACTACCACAGCAAGTCTAAAATAAGCAAACAACTAATATGCATTTTCCAAGTGAACGAGTACCGCGTGTAGAGTGCAACGAAATGAAGAGAGACGTTTTTAGTGTCGGTAAGTGAAATGCATGCGAATAACTGCAATAGTGACTACCCAGTCAGGAGCTAAAATAAGTTGTAATGTGGAACGAAGGCATTAACAACACAAAGCAACATGTCGACACGAGGAGATAGATGAGATGGTAGAGTACGAGCAGAAGAAACCCACGAAAAAAGGACAGGAAGGGTTTCACCTGCGCTGTCTTCTGAGGGAATTTAGGCTGTCATAAAAAGCAGCCATTCATAGCATGGTTGGCGGCATCCGGTTTCGGATTTGCCTTTCACTGTGGCAAGCCACAGGACGCCTGCGCCTACAGAGGGACCATGGATGGCTTGCGCTGCACCACCCACAGCTCCAACCACATACCCCATATCCAGTGTAAACCCGAAGGAATAAGACCGGGAGGCATGCGGATGGGAGCCACGTTTCATCAACGGAGCCGGCCCACACTCCTTCACAGGCAAACACAAGTACGCTGTAGTTGGGGAATCAAGGGCACACAAGGCGGTGGCTGGACCGTAGTCCGCTCCACACTGACTGCATGGAACCACTCGTTGAGTCTAGCACGGCCACAAGGACCGTGCACCCCGTCCCCTCCAGCAACGACCAACTGTCTCCTGGAGCCAGTATGAACGAGGTAGTGGGTAATAGACAGGTAGGCACCTTGTCGACGTGCACATCAAGCGCAGCCACACCGGGGATATCAAGCAACAGCCAATCACTTGAAACGACAAGATGAAATAAAATAAATCCAATAATGCATAGAGATACGGTGACATAACTCTTCGCTAAATTAGCATATGAAGTAAGTTGGTTAGCAACGAATCCGCGATAAGTAAAAAAAATGTCCATAAGTTACTTGATAAAGCTACAAACACAACAAAGTTACCGAAGATAAGCGCAATTAGCGTAAGCAAAGTGGCCAGTTAATAGAACATTATTCAGGCAGGCAGAACAAATCAAATAAAGTAGAATGCTGTTTATCCAGCTTACAAAGCCCTAGTTTAAGTGTAAGTTGGTTTAGCCCAACTGCGGTGAAGAAGCATATATATATATATATATATATATATATATATATATATATATATATATATATATATATATATATATATATATATATATATATATATATATATATATATATATATGGTTACGTATTGCCGCATAATAGCTGAGGTGCTTTTCACCTCTAGCTAACATGCATAATGATGATGCTGTGGGCGATGTTGAAAGGAATGAGCGGGTACGGCATGTGGTCACAAGGCAAATCAACATTCTACGAGGTGTGCCTTACGAAGACCGATGCAAGAGGCGGGGACTTTACACCGTCTTATCGTCGAGTGCGGGTTGACCGCAACACGATGCACCAAATATTAGATTTTGGTGATTACCCCGTGTTTAGGCCGCTGCTGCATGCGCGCACACCAAACAGCACACGAAGACACCGGTACAAGCTTTTACTACCAGCTTTAAGGGGGGTCGCCCACCAAATCTGTTTCGATTATATTGTACAACCTGTCGCCGCATGTAGTCGAGGCAAAGTAAGTATTGGAATTCATGAAATTCCTAGACAAACATTGTAAATATGAAATGTCGCGAATGCTCACCAACCTAACAGGTCTTTGTACCTGAGAGATTTTAGTTACGGTTACAGACACCTCTTATCGCCGCTTCCATCCGGTATTTAGCATGAAGTAGATAGAGGAACTGGTGGATTACGGTAGTGTGAATTTGGGAATAAGAGTGCAACCTTCAGTATTCATTATAAATGCTAGCTGGAGGTGGAAAACGCCTCAGATGTGACGCCGCAATATAAAAGTGAAACAGTGGCACGCTGAGTCATCAGTAACGGATGGACAGCGTTCCGGAGAGCTAACAGCCGGTCACTGTGACGCAAAGTCATGTAATACCGATTAATCGAGATCGTGGTTGGAGGGGGAGGCTAAGTGGAGGGGGCGAACAAAGAAACTCAGCACAAACGCCAATGAGGTCTGCTCCTAGTCCTGTCAACAACTGTATCCGACCAAACGTGTTCATCGTCCTTTGGTCCCCAACCAGGGAGGCGAGAAGCACCAACCGAGGACAACTTCGAAGTAAGGGCCTTCATTCATCTTGACTAAGTTGTCGCTTGACCACCTCTATTCTTCTCCCACCCATACCCCCAAAGCGAAAACAGCACACATCCCGGAAGTCAGTGGACTGGCATGCGAAACACGTAGCCTAGCCATCGGAGCCTGGTGCGCGAAATAACAGTGCTAAGCGGTTTGGTTCTTCTTCCTGCGCCGTAAACAAGGCGTTGAAGACGATCATTGGTTACACGATGTTCCCACTAGATATGAGCCAAACTGAGAAGGCACCGGTGGTCGAACGTAACTAGTCTCATCGTGTCCGCTGATCTAAGGGGCCAGGTTTCATAACCGTACAGTAGGGTCGAACGTACGGTTGCATTGTACACTCTACCCTTCAAAGAGAGAGTGATGTCGCGCCGGCGCTATAGGTGACGAAGGTTAGCAAAAGCGCCTCGAGCTTTTGCTATACGGTTTGTGAGCTCGTCTTCAATTCCAACGGCGCTGATACAACTACCTAAGTAGTTGAACTTCTGAACGACTTCTAGTTGATCCTTACCAAGGGTCAACGCATGAGACGGTCCCTGCCAATCTTGAAGGAAAGATTAGCACTTGGTGGGTGCGAAGCAAAGCCCGAAACGACTGACAGCCAGTGCTAATCAGTCTAGTGCAGCTTGGTACGTTTAGGAGCTGTCACAGATGAGGGCAATATCGTCAGCCTAATCCAAATCAAGAAGCCGTTCATCTGGGAGCAGCTCCAGACCTTCTAAATCATGTCCTGTGAACGGGATTTCTATGACTTCGGAGATAGCGCAGTTGGAGAGGAGGGGTGACAGCAGGCTTCCTTGTCTTACACCTATGGAGATATTGAAGGGCGGTGACAGCTTTCCGTAAGCCCTCACTATGCCCGAGGCACGCGCGTGAAGCGCTCGCATAATATTTACATATTTCTCGGGCACACCATTTCTCAGCATACAGTCCCAAAGGGTACGTCGATCCACTGAATCGAAAGCACCTTTGATGTCGAGAAACACAGCGGTGGGAAGCCAATATATGTGACAGTGCTCCAACAACCGACGCAATGTGAATAGGCGGTCGTTGCATCCCCCACCACGACGAAACCCGGCTTGCTTTCCACGAATCTGGCTCCAGTCGGCTGGGCCAGTTTTCTGCTCCCAAAGTTTCACTAGTAATTCATGTAAATCATGTACAAAAGCAGGGCCCCTGAATTTAAAGAGGACTGGATGATCATCTGGTCCAGCGGCTTTATTCAACTTCAACAGTCCGATCGCATGTTCGACTTCTGAACGAGGGCGGATCCAAAGAGAGTCCAGGCAGAAAGGCGATCACTGGCCGGTGAGGAATCTAATAATACCAGCCGATTAAATTGTGTTTCAAAATGCTCAGCCCAACACTTCAAATGTTTCGACGAGTTGTGGATAGGCTATCCAGTCTCGTCACGTATAGTTTCATTAACCCCGAGTCTACTACTGCCCGTTTTCCGAATCAGACGGAATAACTTCCGATGGTAACCATGGGCAGGGGCCAATTACATCTCAGACGAACGATGAGACCACCAGGGTTAACGGTCTATCTTCAGGCTAGCACGCAGTTTTGCCCTGCTATCCTTGCGAGTCTCGTTGTGTTCGCTTCCAGACGGAATGTGCCGGCGAGCATCGATAAGTTCCAGAGACTGCGAACAGACCCAATGTCTAGTTTGGCTAGTAGATTTATCACGTGACAAGTTACCTGCAACTAGTAAGGTCTGGCTAACATGCGACCAGTGACCTTCAACTGTATTCAGTGAGTGCTTATACAACCTGAACGCCAGCGCATTTCGGTACGCATTCAAAACTCCTGGCTTCGGCAGTTGGATAGTGTCTATACGCACACAGGGTCGTCGAGCGCGACCGCTAAAATGCACCCGCAGATCAGCACATACAAGCGCATGGCCAATGTCCACACATGTGCTCCAAATCCAGCGACAGTTTTGGACGCACACTCTCCAGCGATAACTAATCGCAATGTGATCGACTTGAATCCATGACTGGTTCGAGGCTAGTGGATGCCATGTCACCTTACGAGGGGTGCTGTGTCGGAAGTTGGTGATCGCAAGAAATCAACGAGCATCTTCACCCAAGTGAAGTAACCGCTCACCAATTGTACATTTGTTCTCCGAGCTTGACGGTTTTGTCGCAAACGTTTCACCACCACGCGAGGTGGCATCCTCAGTGCAGTGATATGCGGCGTGCAATCTTACTAAATGAGTCCTCATCCATGATCGACCTGCAGGTGACTTTTGAACGTGGCAGTGTCGATTTAGGTCCTGTGACCTCTACCCATTTTCCCCAAGGTTAAAGTCGGCACCCGAGTTGTTCTGCCTTAAACCGCGTGACAAAATGTTCCTTATTTCTTTCTGTCGTAGTGGTTCGTATATTGAATCGATGTTCACGCGCATGTTGATTGATTGTTTCGTTGAGAGCCAAGCTTCCAAGAATTCTCTTTCTTTTCTTGTTACATCCCGTGCCATGACTTCTGCTTTGCTCCAATCGAAGCTATGTCCTTCTTCATCTACGTGCATTGAAACTAGTGACGATGCATAATGCTTAACACAGGCTCTTTTATGTTCTTGTATCCTTGTTACCAGTTTGCTTCCCGTCTGGCCAACATAATCCCTTTCGCAATCTCGGCAAGGTATTTTGTATACCACATTGCGTTGTTCATGTGTCTGCAGTTTTTCTTTTTGGTTTTGAAAGGGTTTTTCTCAACGTGGCAGTTGGTT